CGGCCCAGCGAGGTAACCCTGGCACAGCAACACATCCCATGGTTTTCCATGCCATGGAGCATGGGGCTCCTTCCTGCCTGGTTAAAACCTCTGCTGGGTCCCAGGTCTCCATTTCCAGGTGCTGTGGGCACGGAGCTGCTGTGTGCTTCCCGCTGGCGATGCCAAACACTTCCCAAGAAGCCCTCTCCCCAGGGCACCCGGCTCGCACCAGCTCCTGCCCATCCAGCAGCGTCTTTTCCTCTTCTCCCTTCAATCCCAAGCTTCCGTTTTGGGAGGATTGTTACCAGTTTTGGGGAAATGTTACCCATGTTCTGCTCAGAAGCTGCCCAAGCAGCGGCTGCTGCGCTGGGCGGAGCTTGTGGTTGGCTTTGGAAAGTGCATTCAGCTCCCCAGCACCCAGACATCGCCACCAGAGGAGCCCGGTGAGCTTTAAGGTGAAGCTGGGTTTAATGCAAAACTGGGATTAAAGAAAAGCTGTGTTTAAAATGAAGCTGGGTTTAAATTAAATTGGGATTAAAGAAAGGCTGTGTTTAAAATGAAGCTGGGTTTAAATTAAACTGGATTTAAAGTGAAGCTGGGTTTAAAACAAAGTTGGGTTTAAAACAAAGCTGGATTTAAAGAGAAGCTGGATCTAAAGCAAAGCTGGGTTTAAAGCAGAGCTGGGTTTAAAGGGAAGCTGGATCTAAAGCAAAGCTGGGTTTAGAGAAAACTGGGTTTAAAGCAAAGCTGGGTTTGAAGTGAAGCTGGGTTTAAAGGGAAGCTGTATCTAAAGAAAAGCTGGGTTTAGAGTGAAGCTGGGTTTAAAGAGAAGCTGGATCTAAAGCAAAGCTGGGTTTATTGAGCTGGTGGCTTGTGCCAGCCTGGGCTTGAGCTTGGGGTGAAGTTATTGGGGAGCTGGCTGAGACTTGGGTGCTGGTCCCTGCCTGGTGGGAGATGGGTCCTCACAACTCTCCCACGCTGCTGGGAAGGAGGAAATGGTTTTCCCAACTTCCTGTGGCTCTGTGAGCCCAGCGTCAGAATCCGGCAGCCCTCGAAAGCAAAACTGCTGCTGGGAGGGATGTTGTGCAACCCACCGAGTCACGAGGGCACCGTGGGACAGCAGGACACGTTGTCCCACGTGGGGCAGGGGAATGAATCCCGCTTTTCCAGGCTCCCGAATGCGGCTGCAGGGTTTAGCATCGCCCCAGCCTGTGTGCTGCATCCCGAGGGCTCAGCACCGCCAGGATGAAGCGCGTGGTTTAGCATCTGCTTCTCTGCAGGCAGAACATTCCCGCTGCAGCATCGACCTCGGGACGGCAACGAGTGGATCCGGAAGGATTTCCTGGTGATTTGAAGCTCTCAGAGTTTGAGAGGGAATTGCAGAGTCAGTGCCTGGGATTTTCCTGCCTTCCCGCGTTCCCGCTCCTCACCTCCCCACCAAGCCCTTGGCTCTGGTTGATGCTGCCCGGCCGTGCCCTGCACCGGGTGCTCTGTGAATTCAGCACTTGTAGTCTGGGTTTTGGCAGTTCGGAAGGAGCCCAGACCTGCCCCTGGGAGGAGCTGATGCCATGGAAGGGGATCAGCCCCCTCTGACTGCAGGTAAGTGCCCCAGGACAGCTCTGCCACGTGTCCATGGGGTGGAATCCCTGGTGAGACCTTGCCCAGGGCCACTGCATGCCCCATCCAGCTAAGCGTGGCTGAGAGCTGGGTCAGGACCAGCCTTGCTCACCTTCTCCTCCCTCCTTCTCTCCTGGTTGATGAAGAAACCAGGAGAGCAGTGCTCAAGGCCAGGTTGGATGGTGCTTGGAGCAACCTGCTCTAGGGGGAGGTGACAAGGGGTTGGAACCGAATGAGCTTTGAGGTCCTTTCTAACCCAACCCATTCCATGATTCTATGATTCTAAGAAGAGCTGACAACCCCCTTCCTGAAGGCTGCTCACCCTCCACCTCTCCATGAGGACGCCAACACCGTGGTCATTGCAGGTAGGGGTTCTCCTTGCCAGATCCACCCCATTTACTGAGGAGCAGCTCGGTACCAACCACCCAAGGCTCTCCCCTGCTCCTCTTTCTGCTTTCTCCTGGTAGTTGTCATCACGCTGGTGTTCCTCACCCTGCTGACGGTCCTGGTGGTGATCATCATCTACCTGTACAGAAACAAAGGCAGCTACCTCACCTACGAGCAGCCGGCAGCAGAGACCGACGTGTCGGTGCAGATGGAGGATGCTCCATCCAAAGAGAAGGAAGAGTATTTCATCTAAGGCACGGCTCCAGCGCACGCTTCTCCCGCTCTCGGGGCCGAACTTCCCCAACCCCAAGTTGGAGATTTCCAAGCTGCTTTTTTCTTCTTTTCCTTAATTTATTAAGCCAAGCATGGAAGGAAAAGCACCCAGGGGTGTGTCAGAGCTTTGCCCATCGCTGCCCACCCGGAGCACACCAAAGGCAGCAGGAGAGCAGCACCCACCCCAGCTCCTCCCTGCAGTGCTCTCGAATACAACCCACTGACAAACTGAGGAGTCCCTGTTGTTTTCTTTGCCCTTAGCTCAAAACCCACCTTAAGTTCCTCTGCTGAGGATTTTGGGGTGGGGTGACTGAAACGGCCGAGTTGGAGGCGAAGGGGAAGCTACAGGTAAAATAGGCTGATGGGTCATGCAGTGAAAGCCACGCTGCTGCCTCAGACTTTGGGGCTGCTCATCCCAGACCTCAGTAGGCTCCAGGGAATGGGAAGCAGAGTGGGTTGGCTTCATCCAGAGGCAGCTTTAGCACCCGCACATGGGCTCACGCAGGTGGAGACACTGGTTTTCCTCTGCTTGTGTTCAGAACAAAGCTGGGGCAAGGAACAGCTCCCCCTGTCCCTCCTCTGCTCCCTGCCCAAGGCACTTCCTCCTTTAAATCAACCCCCAAACCCCTCCCAGAGGAGGAAGTTCACAAAACACCAGTGAAGAGGAAACCAGTGAAGAAGCCCCGAGGCTTGCGATGGGCAGAGCCGAGGGGCTTTAAGTGAGGGCTAATGCAAAGTGGCTCCTTCAGTCAAATTTTCAAAATAGTCTTTATTCTACTTTTCTTTTAGTATAAAAAAATCCACAAGTTAAGTGCACCACAGTGTGTACAGAGAGAGACGTAATGCTGAGCTTCCTAACAGTCGGTTGATGGTTAAACACAACAGGGACAAGACAAGTTTGGATGAAACTGAAACCTCGAGATAAAATATATGTGAATCTGGTATTTTTCTTCATAAAACAAAACAAAACAAAAACACCTCAAACCCAAACCCAAAACACGGAGGATCCCTGAAATATTCTTCTTACCCCTAATAAGACTTCATTGTTTTTAAAGTATGCATTCAGAAAACAAGCCATTGAGCCGGCTCGCTTGGGTGTTCACTGCCAGTTGCTGCACACCCTGGGGCAGATGGTAACCACCCGCTCTGGTTGAGCAACAGCCTGAAGGAGTTTTGGTGTCAAGACACCAGTTGAGTTGGAAAGAAAGGAAGAAGAAGGTTGTTTATTAAGCATCGCTCTAAAAGCCTCATTAGCACTGAATGAAAGGAACATGAGTTGCATTGTGTTTCTGGCACCAAAGCATGGCTTTGATTAGATCTAGTGTGCAAAGAAATCCAAGATTACTTGGAGTGTCTAAAACCAATCCCAGCTGCAAACCTTCCTGGAGGGAAGCGATGGGCGAGCACGGAGCGCTCCCAGGGATCCGTCCCCACTGAGGTCAGGAAGAAAGATGTGCCGAGGTGCTGCTGGGAATCGCTTTTCTATCCAGCACCTTTGCTTCAGTGGAAGGGAAGCACGGGTGGTTGTGGCTCTGGGTGCAGCGGACCCCGAGGAGCGGGAAGGGGAGGGAAGGAGGAAGCGGATCCATCCCCTCACCCTCCTCAAAGCCGATTCCTACGAGCTCAGCACTGCGGTGGATGAAAGGAAGAGGCAGGGCTGCTGAGCTCCCATTCATCCCACGGATTAATCCCCCTTCCCGCTCCACCAGAGGCACCACCAGCATTAACAGGGCTTCGTGCTTCACCTCAACGTGCCTGCAGGCACCAGACCAGGAGACACCTCACCGCTTCGTGTCTACTCTGCAACTTCAGGTTAATATGGTCTAAAGCAGTTACATCGTGAGAAGTGCTGACAGAATGTGATGTCTTTCCTTACACAAATGTAGTCCCCCCTCTCCCCCCCTTCCCCTTCCTTCTTCACCAGATAGTGTAGCCGCCGTCTGAGCCTCCCAGGAAGAAGTTGCCCTTCCGTTGTGTCACCAAGATGTTGGCTCCCTGCATTACAGCCAGCTGAGCGGCGTTGGGGGGACAGCCGGGGGGGGGAGGCTGGAAGACAGAGAAAGGAGAGGCAGGGCATAGCTGAGGTGACCGGGACAAAGCCATCGTGGGCTGCAGGCACCCAGAGACCTCCCGGTCCATGTCCCTGATGAGCAAAGACAGAGTGACAGAGCCCAGGAGCTGATGGGAACCCACAGGTTAAACACGGACACAAACAGGAGCCGGGGATGGGACGTATATTTCTGAAGACAAATTGATACTCACAGGGATGCTGGTGGTTCCACCGGCCCCAAACCTCGCTCCAGCATCAAAGCCACCTTCAACAAGGACTGTGGAGCCCGGAGGATAAACGGGTCCCACGGGGTAGTAAGCCATGGGCACCGAGGAGCTGAGCGGACCCACGGCCACCGACTGGGCCATGGGCAGGAAGACACCCGGGTACGCTGCAGACATGGTGGGGACGGTGGCAGCCCCCAGCGGCACAAAGCTGGGGCGGTAAAGCTGCGGAGAAAAGGAGCCGTGCAAGGGGGTTGAGAGACTGTGGTTCATAGAGCCATGGAATGGTCTGAGTTCGAAGGGACCTTTAAAGCTCACCCAGTTCCAAGCCCCTGCCATGGGCATGGACACAGGGGCTTGGAGCAACCTGCTCTATGGAAGGTGTCCCTGCCCGGGGCAGGGGGTTGGAGCTGGAGGAGCTTTAAGCTCCCTTCATCCCAACCCATCCCATGGAAAACAAAGCATCCCACCTACCTCCGAGTAAGCAGGAGGTGCCTCCGTGTAGGGTGGCGGCTGCGGCAGGGCCACGCTCTGTGGGTACACGGCGGCGCTGGCCGGAGCCTGCACAGGGTAGGAGGGCTGGGTGGGATATTGTCCTGCAG